TTGCCGTTCTGCCTGTGCAGATTGTGGGCTCCGTCGAGGGCCAGCTCTGGCCTGACTGTCTTCCCTGCTCCTTATCCACACAGAGCTTCCCTGGGTGCATCTCCAGGGTGTGCAAGACAGGGCCTTGGAGGCCGACACAGAGGTGGCAGCCAGAGTCTTGGGTCTGGAAACTGAGCATAAGGTTAAACTTTCGCTTCTTCAGACTGAACTCAAGGAAGAAATTGAACTCCTAAAAATAGAAAACAGAAATTTGTACGAGAAGTTGCAGCATGAAACCCGTCTGAAGGAGAATTTGGAGAAGGTGAGTCGTGACTCCACAGCCCAGCGCCTCCCGCCTGAGTCCTTGCCCTCTTCCGCTTGAAAGGCTTGTGTCCTTGTGTGTGGAGGGGCGTCCTGGGGACAGCCCAGCACCTGCCACATTTGTAAGGGCAACAGTCCTATAAATTCTTGAAACTATTCCTGGCAATGCCAGTAGTGAGTGGTGGTTGGAGAGAATCTCGTCAGAGTCAGCACAGGGGAAAAACTGAAGTTCTAAGTGAAGATTTCTTTTTTTTGTTTTGTTTTGAAGCAGAGTCTCATTCTGTTGCCCAGGCTGGAGTGCAGTGGCACGATCTCAGCTCACTGCAATCTCTGCTTCCTGATTTCAAGTGATCCCCTGATAGCTGGGATTACAAACATGTGCCACTATGCCTGGCTAATTTTTGTATTTTTTGTAGAGACAGTGTTTGACCTTGTTGGCCAGGCTAGTCTCAAACGCCTGACTTCAAGTGATCCGCCTGCCTCGGCCTCCCACAGTGCTGGGATTACAGGTGTGAGCCCCCATACCTGGCCCTCTGAATCAAGATTTCTTAGGGAAACTGTCCAGGTGTCCTCAGAGGGCTCCGGGAGGAGGCACGAGCCTGGGTGCCAAGCACGTGTGTGGCCTCTGATGCTCACCCCACGTCTTAAATTGCATCCACGTTCCCCAGGCTCTTCCTGTGCTGTGTTGCCCCGTGGAAGAGGCGCCCACTGACGCTCTTCCTCGCCCTCTGCGAGTGTGAAGTCACTGTCGTGTCATAAACGATGGTAGAGCGACAAGACAGCAGCCTCCACATAGCTCATGGGCTTTGCTTACAGCCAGGGCAGCTCGGGGCCCATCCCATGCTGGAGCAGTGGAGTTAACGTGAACCGAAATTACTGCGTCTTGTCATGTGTGTTCTGACTCAAGCTCATGCTTGTGACAGTGTTTTCGTTTCTGTTTGTGTCCTGTTTCTCCCACCCCTTTGCTCCTCCCTGTGAATGTCTCCCCGAGAATGATTTTCATTCTCCATCAAGAGACAGCTTGATAGGAAGCTGTGATGACCTGCAGGTCTGATCCCTTGCGGTTTGGTAAACTCAGGTGTTGGTAAGGACTTCCAGCAAAATAGAGGTAAGGGTGGAGCCCTGTGGGGAGCCGGGCAGGTGGTAGGTGGGCCGATGGTCATGTGCCGATGGCACCTGCAGCCACCAGTGTGTGGCTTTCTCTGGCACTGTTGGCTGAAGACAGACTTGCCCAAGTGACTTGTTTTGTTTTTGTTTTTGTCTTTTTTCAGACGAAGTCTTGCTCTGTCACCCAGGCTGGAGTGCAATGGTGCGAAGTAGCTGGGATTACAGGTGCACACCACCAGGCCCGGCTAATTTTTTTTATTTTTTTATTTTTATTTTTATTTTTGAGATGGAGTCTCGCTCTGTTGCCCAGGCTGGAATGCAGTGGCGCAATCTCGGCTCACTGCAAGCTCCGCCTCCCAGGTTTACACCATTCTGTATCAGCCTCCCGAGTAGCTGGGACGACAGGTGCCCGCCACCATGCCTGGCTAATTTTTATTTATTTATTTTTTTGTATTTTTAGTGGAGACAGGGTTTCACCATGTTATCCAGGATGGTCTCGATCTCCTGACCTTATGATCCACCCACCTCCACCTCCCAAAGTGTGGGGATTATAGGCATGAGCCACGGCACCCGGCCACGCTAATTTTTGTAGTTTTAGTAGAGACGGGGTTTCACCATGTTGGCTAGGCTGGTCTCAAACTCGTGATCTCAAGTGATCCGCCCGCCTTGGCTTCCCAAAGTGCTAGCATTACAGACGTGAGCCACTGCACCTGGCCCCAAGTGACTTTTTGATGCTCGTATCTTTATGATTTTTGCAGGCCACCATTTTACCTCCTTATATCAGTTATGGGGAGAGGACTGTGGATTTCTCTCTTGTTAATTTTAATTCTTGTTTTGAATATGTGGAAGCTCTGTTGTTACACATGTACACATTTATGATGTAATGTTTTCCTAAAAAAAATCCACCTCCTGTTTTTTTTTTCTTTTTTTTTTTGACACAGAGTCTCTGTCGCCAGGCTGGAATGTAGAGGCACGATCTTGGCTCACTGCAGCCTCCGCCTCCCGGGTTCAAGCGATTCTCCTGCCTCAGCCTCCCGAGTAGCTGGGACTACAGGCACATGCCACCACACTCGGCTAATTTTTGCATTTTTAGTAGAGACGGAGGGTCATTGTGTTGGCCAGGCTGGTCTCGAACTCCTGACCTCATGATCTGTCCGCCTCAGCCTCCCAAATTATTGGGATTACAGACGTGAGCCACCGCACCTACCCTCACCTTTTGTCAATACAGTCGTTCTAACCTTCGTGTGCATTTTTATCTGATGTATCTTTTTTTATTCATTTTATTTTTTATTTTTTATTTTTTTTTGAGACAGGCTGTTGCCCAGGCTGGAGTGCAGTGGCACAGTCTTGGCTCACTGCAACCTCTTCCTCCCAGACTCAAGGGACCCTCCCACCTCAGCCTCCCAAGTAGCTGGGAGTACAGGTACGCACCACCATGCTGAGCTAATTTTTGTATTTTTTGTAGAGATGGGTTTCGCCATGTTGCCCAGGCTGGTCTCAAGCTCTTGGGCTCAAGTGATCCACCCGCCTCAGCCTCCCAAAGTGCTGGGATACAGATGTGAGCCACTGCACCTGGCCTACTTTTAATCTATTCAAAGTAAAGTGCATTTTATATGGACAGCATATAGTTGGCAATTTTTTTTTTTTTTTGAGATGGAGTCTTGCTCCGTTGCCCAGGCTGAAGTACAGTGACGCGATCTCGGCTCACAGCAAGCTTTACCTCCCAGGTTCATGCCATTTTCCTGCCTCAACCTCCCGAGTAGCTGGGATTACAGGCACCCGCCACCATGCCTGGCTAATTCTTTGTATTTTTAGTAGATATGGGGTTTCACTGTGTTAACCGGGCTGGTCTCGATCTCCTGACCTTGTGATCCGCCCGTCTTGGCCTCCCAAAGTGCTGGGATTACAGGCGTGAGCCACCGCGCCTGGCCATAGTTGGCAGCTTTTAAGCCATTCTGATAATCTCTGCCTTTCAATTGCAGTGCTGAGTCTATTAATGTTTATTGTAATTACTGATTGGTTGATTTAGGTCTTCTGTTTCACTGTTCGTTTTTTCTATGAGGCGCATCTGGTGGTCACAGTTCTGCTTTTCCTTTTTTCTTGTGTTTTTGGGTTATTTGAATATTTTCTAGAATTGATTTTAATGTATTTGTTGACTATTAAATTATTTTTCTTTGCATTATGTTTTTAATAGTTGCTCCAGGGATTAAAATACACATTCTTGGCCTGGCGCGGTGGCTCAGGCCAGTAATCCCAGCACTTTGGGAGGCGGGTGGATCACCCAAGGTCAGGAGTTTGAGACCAGCCTGGTCAACATGGGGAAACCCTGTCTTTACTAAAAAAAATAAATAAATAAATAAAATACAAAAATTAGGTGAGCATGGTGGTGCATGCCTGTAATCCCAGCTACTTGGGGGCCTGAGGCAGGAGAATCGCTTGAAACTGGGAAGCAGGGGTTGCAGTGAGCCGCAATCACGAGACTGCATTCCAGCCTGGGTGACAGGGCGAGACTGCATCTCAGAGAAAAGAGAAAAAAAAGAGTACAGATTCTTAACCTTGTCTTTTATCAGTACAATCTCCTGAGAGTCACCACGCTGCTGCGCTGTGTAAACTGTGACCTCTAACTGCACAGGTGCTTTGTCACTTCCCCTTCGTCTTCTGTGCTGCAGTTCTCATAGACTAGACATCACATCCGCCTCCTACAGTGTCAGGAGATTTGCTTTGGAAAACTGGTATTTGAAAGAAATTAAGAGGGAAAAGGGCCTTATACTTGCCATTCTGCTGCTCTTCATTTTTTCCTGAGGATCTGAGTGTTTGGCGTCATTCCCATCAGCCCGAAGGATCTCCTTCGCATCTCTTGATGTGCAGCACACATTTTCTCTGTTTTTTTGAAAAGTCTTTATTTTGCTTAGATTCTTGAGGAGTATTTTTGTGGCATAAAAAAGTCTGAGGTGATGGGTTTCTCGTTCAGTGTTTAAAGATGTTTAAAACCCTTCTCTGCGGATTTTATGATCTGTTTGGTTTTGGTGATGGTTTCCATTGATTGTGTTTTCAGCAGGGGTCATGTTTTCCTGCTTATTTATGTGTCGGCTGGGTTCAGGTCGCACGCTGGACACCGTGAGCGATAGATTTGGAGACTCTGGGTGCTGTCCTGCTCCTCTGAAGAGGGCTGGGTTCTGTTGCAGCAGGCGGTTCACTTGGCTAACTTCAGACTCCACGCTCCCCTGTGTCTGTGTGGGTGGCGGCGTGGTGTTAATTCAGTTCTTGTAGCTTTGGCTGGGTTGCTGCTTTTAGAGTCTGCCCCTTGCATGTACAGATCGGGGTCAGCCTGAGATTTGCGCGGGGTTCATTCCCAGGCATTGCAGCTCTCTTTCCTCCCTCACTCTCCAGTTCCTCTGGCTCATATGTGGGATTTTGGATTTCTGTATGTGGGGCATGGACAGATCCTACTCTTACTGAAAGGCTGGAGAACGAGAAGTGGCCCAGTGCCGTTTCTTCCTTCTGAGCGTCCAGCCCTCTCCAGGGTCTGTCTGCCTGTGGGTCTCTCCACAGCCTTCAGGGTTGTTGTTATGTTCTATTTAGTTCATAGTGGTTGTCTCTGGGGGGCTGGTCTGGCGAGGTGAACAGGCATCACCAGAAGTAGGACCCTAAACTTTAATAACTTAATTTTTAAATAAGGAGTTGAGGTCAATCTTGCACGCCTTTTTTGGGTTTTTTGTCTGTTTGTTTCTTATTGATGAGTTCAGTAGTTTATTGACCTACTTTCTCTCTCTTTGAAAGTCAGGAAGTCAGGCACAGTGGCTCACACCTGTAACAATCCCAGCACTTTGGGAGGCTGAGGCAGGCGGATTGCTTGAGCTCAGGAGTTCAAGATCAGCCTGGGCAACATGCAGAACCCTGTCTCTATAAAGAATTGCTTGAGCCCAGGAGTTTGAGGCTGCAGTGAGCTGTGATCCAGCCTGGGTGACAGAGCCAGACCCTGTCTCAAAAAAAAGATTTAAGATATTTGCTCTCTGCATTCTCCTTCCTCCCCCTCTGCACAGGATCCCTTTACAGTGTGCCTTGCAGTTTATGCACCCCTTGCTCACGGTCTTCCGTTGTCCTGGCGTTGACCTTGTACAGATCGGGAGCATCGCACCATCAACTGCTCTTGCCTCCTGGGCATCTGGTCCTGCTTGCCGCAGCTGGCCCAGCGCTATCTGTAGGGTTGGCATTCCCCTAACGGAGGCCTGCGGCCGATCTGAGTCCTGCCACTGGTCTTGGTCCGAACAAAGAAGACTCCAGCTGCTGCCTTTGCTCGGCTGATGTGTGCTGCCTCCAGTTGTTGGTTGCTGTCGAGGCCACGGGCTCCAGAGAGAAGAATAGTCAGTTCTCGGTGCCAGGATGTAGGAGGCATTTTATTTAGTTTTAGATTTGTTCACTTTAGGTTTCTTCCGTTCTCATTAACATGAGAATCATTTCCATTGCTGTGTGCAGCGTAATGGGTGTGTGTGTGGTGAAAGTTGCCCTGTCTTCAGGGGTGGGTTTGGGTTGTCTCTTCTAATAATCTTTTACATTAACGTTTTCTCTCCTAAATAAAATTATGTTGTCTATAGGTAAAACACAATCTAGTTGAAGACCACCAGGAGGAACTAAATAATGCCAAGCAGAAGACTGAGCTGATGAAACAGGAATTCCAAAAAAAAGAAATGGACTGGAAAGTTATGAAGGAGGAGCTACAGCGGGAAGCTGAGGAGAAGTTAACGTTGATGCTTCTTGAACTGAGAGAAAAGGCTGAATCCGAGAAACAGACCATCGTAAACAAGTTTGAGCTTCGAGAAGCTGAAATGAGGCAGCTTCAGGACCAACAGGCAGCCCAGATCCTGGATCTGGAGAGGTCCTTGACGGAGCAGCAGGGCCGCCTGCAGCAGCTGGAACAGGAGCTCACTTCAGACGATGCCCTGCGTTGCAGCCAGTGTGGGCGGGAGCCGCCCGCAGCCCAGGACGGGGAGCTTGCCGCGCTCCACATGAAGGAAGACTGTGCCCTGCAGCTGATACTGGCCCGGAGCAGGTGGGTTTGTGGTGATGACATCTGCAGTCCCTGTGAGGCCAGACACCATGGAGGGTAGAGGGTGGGCAGGCTCCTGGGAGGAGCCGCTGTGGGCTCCACTGGGCGAAAAGGTCTGGAGGGAGCTGGAGCAAGGTGTGGCGCTCTAGGTTTTCAGCCTGATGGCAGTGGGACAGCTTTGTGCTCGGACGGGCAGGCTGGCAGTCGCTGCCTCAAAGCCCCCCAAGCCTGCACTACCTGGGTGGGTATCCAGGGTGGACATCAGTCATCGTCTCTGTTGTTCTTCGCGTGTTTTAAGATTTGAACAGTAGAAGCTAAACCTCGTTTATAAGGTGTCATAAGGACATGGAGTTTATCCACTAAGCGTTTTTATTTTTTATTTTTTATTTTTTATTTTTTTGAGGCAGAGTCTCCCTCTGTCGCCCAGGCTGGAGTGCAGTGGCCGGATCTCAGCTCACTGCAAGCTCCGCCTCCCGGGTTTACGCCATTCTCCTGCCTCAGCCTCCCGAGTAGCTGGCACGCCTGGCTAGTTTTTTGTATTTTTTAGTAGAGACGGGGTTTCACCGTGTTAGCCAGGATGGTCTTGATCTCCTGATCTTGTGATCCGCCCATCTCGGCCTCCCAAAGTGCTGGGATTACAGGCTTGAGCCACCGCGCCCGGCCGCGTTTTTATATTTTTTTTAACTTAAACAGGTGATTTTTAAAAATAAGCATGTTTTTCTAAAACATACACACTCTTCTCTGAAGTTTGCAAGAGGTTTAGAAAGTCATTGGGTTCTTTGCCTGTTGGTGCTGACCCCTTTTTGTCAGCCTCAGTCCCTGGGCTGTGCCATTCCTTCTCCTCTGTCTGCCCCACCCAGCTCTTCCCCAGCAGCCAGGGCTGCACAGGGCCCCGCTTGGGGATTGGGAAACTCAGGGCCACAGAGGTCCCCGCTCAGGGGTTGGAGAACTTGGGGCCGCGCAGGGCTCTGCTCTGGGGTTGGAGAAACTCACGTTCGAGTCTCCAGGGCTGCATGAACACGAGCAGACGTTCTTCTCCCCAGGCTGCGACGCTTGTGCTTCGTGGTGGAGCTGAGCCAAGGAGGCCCCAGGAGAGGCTTCCAGGCGCAGAGGTGCCCGTGCCTCTTGCCATCTGTCCTGTGTCGCCAGCGCCCTTAGGAGGCCTCCGCATTTTGCAGGACTCTCCGGCTCCAGGCTCTTTGGCCTCCTGATGGGGGCAGGTCCCTCTGTGAGGATTCTCACTTCCTCTGTCTTTGGCCCTGAGTGCCGCCTGCACCTCCTTAATTCACTGCCATGGGGTTCTATTCACTGTCATGGGGTTCTCAGGCCTCGCCCTCCGTATGGGCCCCTATGGGCAGTGCCCCTTCCCTGCTGAGGAGCAGAGATTGCCTTGGGATTCTTCGTTGGGACCTGGCTTGGACGCCCTGGTGTGAGTAGGAGGTCGGTTGTACCTGCCGTGCGTGGCTCTGGTGGGGATATGTGTGCACCGTCTCTTGCCGAGGGTGCTGGGTCCTACCTGTGGTCTGTGACCTGGTGACTCCCATGGCTTTGGCCTTTGGCCTCTGGGCTCCTCTGGCTTCTTGGGGCCTCTTCTCTCTCCCACTTGTTATTTCTGGTGGCAGACGGAGAAGTACTAAGAGCAGTTAAAATCCCAAAACGGAGACCTGAACAGTTGAAGTGGTGTTTCCTTTAGGAAACTGACTTGGCTTTTGCAAGGATCGATGCTTCCTGGGTGCGTATTTAGCTGTCCTGTGTTCACTTTGTTGCCACAGGTTTTTAGAGGAACGTAAAGAGATCACCGAGAAATTCAGTGCAGAACAGGATGCCTTCCTGCAGGAGGCCCAGGAGCAGCACACCCGCGAGCTGCAGCTCCTCCAGGAGAGGCACCAGCAGCGGCTCCTGTCAGTGACGGCAGAGCTCGAGGCCAGACACCAGGCGGCGCTGGGTGAGCTGACGGCCTCGTTAGAGAGCAAGCAGGGGGCTCTACTGGCCGCACGTGTGGCCGAACTGCAGACGAAACATGCTGCCGACCTCAGCGCTCTGGAGACCAGACATCTGTCCAGCCTTGATTCTTTAGAATCCTGTTACCTGTCTGAAATTCAGACCATCCGCGAGGAGCACAGGCGGGCCCTAGAGCTCTTACGAGCAGACTTTGAGGAACAACTGCAGAAACAGGACTCTCTTCACCAAACAATTTTGACTCAAGAGTTGGAGAAACTGAAGCAAAAACATGACGAGGAGCTACAGTCTGTGCGGGATGGCCTGCGAACCGCAGCGAGCACAGAGCTCGCCGGAACCGTGGCTCACGAGCTGCAGGGAGCACACCAGGTAAGGCGCCCGGACCCTGCCCCAGCTCAGGGCAGACCTCTCCCCCCACCCGTGTGTTTCCACCGTGTGTCACATGTCTGCGTGCGTGCTGTGTGCGCCTGTGCAGATGTCTGTATGTCTCACAGGCTGCCAAGATCAATGGGGACTTCTGGTCTTGTTGTGAACTGGGCTTTTTTTTTTTTTTTTAATTTTTTTTATTTTTGAGACAAAGTCTTGCTGTGTCACTAGGCTGGAGTGCAGTGGTGCGATCTTGGCTCACTGCAACCTCCGCCTTCTGGGTTCAAGCGATTCTCCTGCCTCAGCCTCCCAAGTAGCTGGGATTACAGGCGCCTGCCACTATGCCCGGTTAATTTTTGTATTTTTAGTAGAGACTGGGTTTCACCATGTTGGCCAAGCTGGTCTTGAACTCCTGACCTCAGGCGATACACTCGCCTTGACCTCCCAAAGTGCTGGGATTACAGGCATGAGCCACCGCACCTGGCCTGAGCTGGGCTTTAAAACATCGAGTTGAAGGGTTATTTTGATCACAGGCACCTTGCTAAAGGCTTTGCTCTCGTATGTGAGAGGGCCCAGACTTGGTGTGGGGTTTTGTGGGCTTTGGAGTATTCCTCAAGGCTGACTGGCACTCCTGCAGCCGACTTGGTTTCCAGGTGCTGTGGGTAGATCTGATTGTCGTGTTGTATATTCAGAGCCTTGGGCCCCTCCTTTATTGATGTTTCCTGTAATTAAACCCTTTTGCCACGTTTCAAGAGCAGTGATGGGCCAGGCACGATGGCTCACGTCTGTAATCACAGCAGTTTAGGAGGCCGAGGCAGTTGGATTACTTGAGCCCAGGAGTTTGAGACCAGCCTGTGGTCTGCAAAAAATAAAAACAATTAGCTGGGTGTGGGGGCACTCACCTGTAGTCTCAGCTACTTTGGAGGCTGAAGCAGGAGGATTGCTTGAACCCAGGAAGTCGAGGCTGCAGGGTGAGCTAAGACTGTGCCATTGCACTCCAGCCTGGACTGTAACAGTGAGACCCTATCTCAAAAAAAAAAAAAAAAAAAATCAAAAATAGCTCACACCTGTAATCCCAGCACTTTGGGAGGCCAAGGCAGGCGGATCATGAGGTCAAGAGATCAAGACCATCCTGGCTAACACGGTGAAACCCCGTCTTTACTAAAAATACAAAAATTAACTGGGCGTGATGCAGGCGCCTGTAGTCCCAGCTACTTGGGAGGCTGAGGCAGGAGAATGACGTGAACCCTGGAAGCGTGCCGTGAGCCGAGAACGCACCACTGCACTCGAGCCTGGGCGACAGAACAATACTCTGTCTAAAAAAACAAACCAAAAAAAGCAGTGATGGTTCATTTTCCAGGCACTTCAAGTTTTTATCATGAAGAAGATTTTCTGGCGAAGTCCCTGTTGCCCTGGGCTGGCGCCCAGCTGCAGAATCTGCAGTGCCTGTGACTCAGGAAAGGACACATGTTGTCTTAACACACACACCTTGCATTTTCTCTGCCCCCCGTGAGGTCTCTGAGGTTTTGTCGCCTTGAAGTAGATGAGTCTGCTCTGCTGAACATGTGGGGCCGCTGGGGCTGGCCTGTCTCCCTGCAGGCAGGGGATGCGTAGGCCTGGCTGCAGGGTGGATGGGGCGTGGTCTAGAGCTGATGAGGCAGTTAGAAATGGCTGTTCTGGCAGATCAATACCTTGTCAGACGTTTAGGGAGTACATATTCCAAATTATAAACTAGGGAATTGCCAGCTCGGATAAGATGGACATGTTCTTTTCCCGATACCAGCATGCCATGCGACGGCTTCCTCCTTCCTGACTGTGGGGAACGGTTGTGAGGCTGCGGAGCGCTGGCATATTGTTTCCTTTCCTTCAGCTCTGTGTGAGAACAGGAGAAAAGTGGAACTTTCTTTAACTACTGTGGGGATTTCATGTTATGTTTTAGGCTGTCCATTTTGTGTGGGCTGAGCATGTGATCTCGGGGGAATTCCTAGAAAGCAGAACATGTTCAGGGCTCTGACTGCTGTCATGAGCACGGTGCAGTCAGTGTCTGTCTCGGGCCTCTGTCCTGTCCTTGTCTTCACCAGATGTCAGGGAGTTCTGGGAGTTTGTTTCCTTTTTGTTTTTTAAGAGGCAGGGTCTCTCTGTGTTGCCCAGGCTAGTCTCGAACTCCTGTCCTCAAGAGATCCTCTTGCCTTGGCCTCCCAGGTAGTTGGAATGACAGGTGTGAGCCACTGCTCCCAGCTTGGGAGGTGCCTCTTGAGAGAAACTGGAGCCAGGTTGTCTTTCTGGACAAAATTTAGAAAGGGGTCTGATGCCGCTGGAAGCGGCCCTCCAGGCGAATCCTCAGATGCCAGCCTCAGTTTCCTTTCGTTCCCAGTTTTGATCACGGGCAAACAGATGCTTTGGAGAATAGCACTTGTTCCCAAGCTGTGGATTTAAAATTAGGTTTTCTTGGTTTGTTTGGTTTAAAGAAAACGAAGTTCTGAAAGAATATTCAGAAAGGAGGAACTTGCATATCACACATGAAGTGTGTATTTCAAACCACAGCCTGATTTAGTCATGGGAAGCATGTGGAGTTGTGTGCACCTTCCGTGCCCTGCGTGGGGATGTGGCACGTCTGGGTGTTTCCCGGACGGAAGGAGCTGGTCATGGCCCTGTGCAATCAGAGACGCCTGCTGGAGGAAGAGAGGACCGAAGCCCTGGACTGGGTGGGTGCCGAGGTCCTGCTCCTGGAGCATCAGCACCTAGCGGCCCTGCAGGAACTCAGAGATGCACACTGCCAAGATGCAGGAGCAGCAAGCAGGGCAGGCGGAGTTGGGGGAGCCGGAGGTTCTGGGGGAGCTGGAGGTTCTGGGGGAGCCGGAGGAGTGCTGGGGGAGCTGGAGGTGCTGTGGGAGGGGGCTGTCCAGGTGAGCAGCTCCATGGGTGTGGTTCCCACAGGGGTGCCTCCCGGGCTTCTCTGCCCTGAGTCTTCATCAGAGTGTTGAGGCACTTATGGGTACACTTGGAGGTGCTGGATTGTGCGTGCTAGGGGATCTGTGCTCAAAGGGTGCAGCTTCGTGGGGGCAGATGTGTCAATGCCCTTGGCCAGCGAGCAGCTGCAGGGGTGGGCATCTGCGGGGGGGTGTCTTTGGTTGGTCTCCCTTCCCACTGGGGCCTCTGGAGGGCAGCGCTATGCCCTGGTCTGCAGGCAGCGAGTGGTCTGTGGAGCGACCACACATCTGTCCTAAAGGCTACTTGGCAGCTGGACGAAAAACAAGGTGGAGGCGATTCAGAGCCTGGGAGGCTGGGGGTCGGGGAGGCCGGGGCTCATCCCGGGTGTGGCACTAGGTGGCTTGGGGGATAATGAGGGGTGCCTGCCAGCTGATGATGGCAACAGAGGGGCACGGAGAGCCTGCAGGCTGATGGGGGAGGCCACGCTGAGCTGGAGGGGCCATCCCAGCTTGGGCTGCTGAGGGTGATGTGGCTTGTGTGGATACAGAGCACGTTTAATTGCTCTTACAAATCTGCACACAGGCTGGGCTTGGGGCTCATGCCTGTAATCCTAGGGCTTGGGGAGGCCATGGTGGGAGGATCTCTTGAGCTCAGGAGTTCGAGACCAGCCTGGGCAACATAGCAAGAGTCCACTTCTAAAAACAAAAATTGGCTGGGTGTGGTGGCTCACGCCCGTAATCCCAGCACTTTGGGAGGCTGAGGCGGGCGGATCATGAGGTCAGGAGATCGAGACCATCCTGGCTAACACGGTGAAACCCCATTTCTACTAAAAATACAAAAAATTAGCCAGGCATGGTGGCAGGTGCCTGTAGTCCCAGCTATTCTGGAGGCTGAGGCAGGAGAATGGCGTGAACCCGGGAGGCAGAGGTTGCAGTGAGCAGAGATCACGCCACTGGCCTCCAGCCTGGGCAACAGAGCGAGACTCCGTCTCAAAAAAAAAAAAAAGTAAAATAAGTAAAAATTAACCAGGCATGGTGATGCAGGCCTGTAGTCCCAGCTGCTTGGGAGACTGAAAAGAGAAAATTGCTTAAGCCTGGAAATCTGTGGCTGCAGGAAAAAAAAGAAATCTGCACACCGTATGGTTTACTTTCTTTTTTTTTTTTTTTAAAGACAGCGTCTCAAAAAAAAAAAAAAAAAAAAAAGGCTGGAGTGCAGTGTCACAATCCTGGCTCACTGCAGCCTCTGCCTGCCAGGCTTAAGCAGTCCTCCCACCTCAGCCTCCCAAGTAGCTGGGATACAGGCACGTGCCACCTCACCTTGCTAACTTTTATTGTTTTGTTGCCCACGCTGGTCTTGAATTCACGGACTCGAGTGATCCTCCCACTTTGGCCTCCCCAAAGTACTGGGATTACAGGCGTGAGCCCCTGCACCTGGCCAGTGTAGTTACTTTTTCGTTTTTAAAAAAATCTTGTGTGTCAGAATATGCGTAAGCACTGGTACCAAATTGTGTCAGAAGAAGCCAGACCGAGCAGTCGGAATCCCCCTTGGATTCCCAAGGTGGCCGTGGAGGGGCCTGACTGAGGTCCCCTGCCACCTGCTGTGGTCTTGACTCTTTGCATCCATGCAGTACTGCGTTTAAGCAGCAAGGTCTCCCCACTCGTGGACCTGTGCACCTGCCCCACCCAGGCACCACCACCCTGCCTGCTGGCCTACATGATGAGTGCACACACACACACGCACAGCACATGTGCATACACACAGCACATGCACGCACACAGCACATACACAGCACATGCGCACGCACACAGCACATGCGCACTCACACAGCACGTGTGCACACACATAGCATACACATAGCACATGCAAACACACAGCACATATGCACACATAGCACATGCGCACGTTCACACAGCACATGCACAGAAACAGCACATACAGAGCACATGCACACACAGCACATGCGTACACACAACACATGCAGACATAGCACATGTGCGCATACAGCACATAGCACGTGCACACACACAGCACATGTGCACAGGCACAGCACATACTCATACACAGCACACACG